ATTATTATTAGGAGGCCCCATCGGGGGGCCTCCTATCAATTTTGTAGATATTATTCTTTATTATTCTTTATTATTATTATTTATTCTTCCTCCCTCTTTTTCTCCTACTTCCAACTACCTTTCAACTAGGTACTACATAGTCCTACTAGGGACCTGGGCTGAACTTGGCGGGAAAGGAATTTTTATCTAGGTCAAGGTCAAAGGTCAAAATCTAGGTCAAATCTAAGTTTTTTTCAAGTTTCTCAAATCCTGACACTACACTTAAATATTTTTGGCTGAATTTTTGCACACAGATAGATATTAGTATTCTATTAGTCTTAGCCTTTTGCCGTCTAGAGAAATTTTGCCTAGATTTTGAGATATTGAAGGTCAAAAAAAGGTCAAAAAAGGTCTTTTTTCAACTTGCTTCAAATTGACCAATTTTTTTTTTAAAACTCATCTACAAGTTCTCAGGATTCCAAATCTGACCTTACTTTTGACCTTTGACCTTTGGTTGACCTTCAGTGACCTCCGAAAGGTAAAAAAGTTGATTTTTCAAATCAATTTTCTGGATTCAAATTTAGGTATATTTATTCACAAAAGATCTTCTGAGGTCTAAAAAAGTAAAATTTGCAAGGTCAAAGGTCAAGGTCATCAAACGAAATCACAAACTGTGTTTTCTAAGTTTCTCAAAATTGGAGACTACAAATCAATTTTTTTTACTGAAAGTCAGAATATATATTCCTCTAAAGGTTCTACACATATTAGCAATTGACTATTTATTAAAATTTTGCTCCAGTTTTGAGATATTAGAACTCAAAAACTGAAAAAAGGTCAAATTTAAAATTTTTCAAGGTCAAATTTCAACTTGCTCTAAATTGACCAAACTTTTTTTTAAAAAGCATCTACAAGATCTCAGGAACTCAAATCTGACCTTAGTTTTGAACTATGACCTTTAGTTGACCTTCAGTGACCTTCGAAAGGTCAAAAAAGTTAATTTTTCAAATTGATTTTCTGGATTCAAATTTAGGTTTCTTCAATCAGAAAAGATATACTGAGGTCTAAAAAAGTAAAACCTGTAAGGTCAAAGGTCAAGGTCATCAAACAAGATCACAAACTGTGTTTTCTAAGTTTCTCAAAGTTTGTGACTACAAATCAATATTTTTGAATTAAAGTCAGGATATATATTCCTCTAAAGGTTTTACACATAATAACAATTGATTATCTATTAAAATTCTGCACCAGTTTTGAGATATTGGACCTCAAAAACTGAAAAAGGTCTAATGTTGAAATTTTTCAAGGTCAAATTTCACATTGCTTCAAATTGACCAAACTTTTTTTTTAAATCATCTACAAGATGCCTGGAGTTCATATATGTCCTTGTATTTAAGATTTGACCTTTGGCTGACCTTTAAATGTTCAAAAAAGCCTACGGGGCCTCCGTAAGATTGCTTGCAATCTTCTAGTTATTATTATTATTATTATTATTTATTCTTCCTCCCTCTTTTTCTCCTACTTCCAACTACCTTTCAACTAGGTACTACATAGTACTACTAGGGACCTGGGCTGAACTTGGCGGGAAAGGAATTTTTATCTAGGTCAAGGTCAAAGGTCAAAATCTAGGTCAAATCTAAGTTTTTTTCAAGTTTCTCAAATCCTGACACTACACTTCAATATTTTTGGCTGAATTTTTGCACACAGATAGATATTAGTCTTCTATTAGTCTTAGCCTTTTGCCGTCTAGAGAAATTTTGCTTAGATTTTGAGATATTGAAGGTCAAAAAATGGTCAAAAAAGGTCTTTTTTCAACTTGCTTCAAATTGACCAAATTTTTTTTTAATACTCATCTACAAGTTCTCAGGATTCCAAATCTGACCTTACTTTTGACCTTCGACCTTTGGTTGACCTTCAGTGACCTCCGAAAGGTCAAAAAGTTGATTTTTCAAATCGATTTTCTGGATTCAAATTTAGGTATATTTATTCACAAAAGACCTTCTGAGGTCTAAAAAAGTAAAATTTGCAAGGTCAAAGGTCAAGGTCATCAAACGAAATCACAAACTGTGTTTTCTAAGTTTCTCAAAATTGGAGACTACAAATCAATTTTTTTTACTGAAAGTCAGAATATATATTCCTCTAAAGGTTCTACACATATTAGCAATTGACTATTTATTAAAATTTTGCTCCAGTTTTGAGATATTAGAACTCAAAAACTAAAAAAAGGTCAAATTTCGAAATTTTTCATAGTCAAATTTCAACTTGCTCTAAATTGACCGAACTTTTTTTTAAAAAGCATCTACAAGATCTCAGGAACTCAAATCTGACCTTATTTTTGACCTCCGACCTTTGGTTGACCTTTGGTGACCTTCGAAAGGTAAAAAAAGTTGTTTTTTCAAACTGATTTTCTGGATTCAAATTTAGGTATATTTGATCACAAAGGACCCACTGAGGTCTAAAAAAGTAAAATTTGCAAGGTCAAAGGTCAAGGTCATCAAACTAAATCACAAACTGTGTTTTCTAAGTTTCTCAAAATTGGAGACTCCAAATCAATATTTTTTCATGAAAGTCAGGATATATATTCCTCCTTAGGTTCTTCACATATTAGCAATTGACTATTTATTAAAATTGTGTACCAGTTTTGAGATATTGGAACTCAAAAACTAAAAAATGTCAAATTTCGAAACTTTTCAAGACTAAATTTCAACTTGCTTCAAATTGACCAATTTTTTTTAAAACTCATCTACAAGTTCTCAGGATTCCAAATCTAACCTTACTTTTGACCTTTGACCTTTGGTTGACCTTCAGTGACCTCCGAAAGGTCAAAAAAGTTAATTTTTCAAATCGATTTTCTGGATTCAAATTTAGGTATATTTATTCACAAATGACCTTCTGAGGTCTAAAAAATAAAATTTGCAAGGTCAACGGTCAAGGTCATCAAACGAAATCACAAACTGTGTTTTCTAAGTTTCTCAAAATTGGAGACTACAAATCAATATTTTTAAATGAAAGTCAGAATATATATTCCTCTACTAAAGGTTCTACACATATTAGCAATTGATTATCTATTAAAATTTGGCTCCAGTTTTGAGATATTATAGCTAAAAAACTGAAAAAAGGTCAAATTTCAGAATTTTTCAAGGTCAAATTTCAACTTGCATTAATTCTACCAAACCTTTTTTAAAAACCTTTAGTTGACCTTCTAATTGGTAATGCCTACAGGGCCTCCGTAAGATTGCTTGCAATCTTCTAGTTATCAAACAAGCTTTGGGGGATATCAAGAACAGCTCTGTCCAAGGTGGCTGCTATTTAACAAAACTTGGTTTGTTCTGTGGGATCTGTTACTCTGTGGGTTTTTTGTTGTTTTCTAGATGTTTTTTAGAAAATGTGCATAACATAGAAAAAGTGTTGCATTTTAGCTCATCTCTATCCCTTTAACTTCCTTTAACTGCTGCATGTATAAAAAGTTTAGTTTTTGATATTTGCAGAGAATGCATGCAACAGAAATTATGATCATTATTTATGGGTAGCAGAAAATCAAATTGACAGTTATTATCATAATGATTGTTTGTCGAGGGGTGATCAATAAGTAATGGATGCTTTTTTACACGGATGCTTTTTATTGACTAATCTCTTTGATTTTTTTCACCAGTGATACATCATTCAATTATCTATCAACTCTGGAGATTTGAAGACAAGATATGTAATGCGTCCATAAAAAGCATCGGTGTAAAAAGCGTCCATTACTTATTGATCGGGGTGATCGTATCATTTATTGTTATAATACATTAGATTTGGAAAAAACACTTTCCATTTCAGCTAGAAGAGATGTTATTATACATAGTTTAGAAGTGTTGTTTTATTTTATATCTTTGTTGTATTCTATTCCAGCATAATGGGGCTGTACATTTCTGTTGTAATAGTCATAGGGAATTTTGTGCGCATTTTTATAACTGGAACTTCATATCATATTATATTTGAGGAACTTCCAAATGTGGACAATATACATTCTCTGCTGTTGAATATTTACATGGTGCGGGAAAATAAGGATTTTGAGCTGGAAGAAGATCTTTTTGCCAAATTGATATTTGCATACAGATCACCAGAGACATTAATTAGATGGACTAAACACAAACAAAAATAGTATCTTGGAAATATTCATACTCCTCTGTGATGTTTTCAATTTTTAGCAACAAAAATGAAATAATAGTGTGATATTGTGTACCTGAAATTAAAACATGTTAAAACCTTTATTGTATGATATTTTGATACCTACAAAAAAAGTAATTTAACAGGTTTATGTTTGTAGCTTTAGCAAAATATTTACATATAGCTCATCAAATGAGTTAATTTACAACAATAGTGCCAATCAGGAGGAATGACATATATAGGTTTTCTTCTTTGTAAATGTAAAGTTTGCAACAAAATAAATGACAGGTGGATTTTTTGTCACCATATCCAAACCATGGTGGTTTGAAAGCCCATTGTCTACATCCGTACAGCCATATCACTTAAAATTTCTATATTTTACATTTTGTATACTCTCATCCCCAACCTCTTGAAAATTCTCTTATTTTTAACATGAGAAATCTTCACTTCAGAAAATCCATTAGTCATTATTTATGTTCCAAACTGTAATTCCATGCATTTAAAAATATGTATTTATTGGTTTCAAGTGTAAAAATATATATATATATTCTGTATATTTTGTATTTATGCTTCAAAGATTTATGATTAATACTCAAAAAGAGTGTATATGTCAGAAGGATGAGTCATGCAGTAGTATGGTATATGTACTTGGCCACTCAAAATGTTAAGGAAAAGCTCATGCCATTAGGAAAGAAACCCAAAATGATTCACATAATGAAAATGTAAACTAGAATGTCAGCAAGTATATAGCTATTTTGAACATTAGCTTCTTCCACATTACAAAGAATATACTAAAAATGATAATCTCAGAATTTAACTTGATCTAAAATCATGTAATGGGAATTCAACTATGCCATGTTTACATATTTCTTTTGCAGAATTGTAGGTCTGTACATCTCAGTTGTAGTCGTCATTGGACGATTTGTTCGATTATTCGTAACTGGAAAATCTTACGCCATCATGTTTGAAGAGCTCCCAAATGTAGAACGTGTCTATACATTACTCAACAACATTTATATGGTGAGAGAATCACTAGAATTCTTATTAGAGGAGGAACTATTTGCAAAACTAATATTCTTATTCAGATCACCACAGACTATGATAAAATGGACAAAGTATAAACAAAGTTAGTAGTCATGATTTAAGATCGTCTGAATAAAATCATAATTTTAGGGGAATCTTCCATAAGACTGTAACACACATGGTTCGGTGATATGTTAAAAAGTAACATAGATTTAAGGTCCCTGAGTATTTATACAGTGTACACATATATATTCAGTGTATTAAAAACCTTGAAGAATTCTAAAATGTGCATGTTGAAGTGAAGAATTGGGACCATTGCTAAAAAATTATGTAATCACAACATTAGGACACTAACAGTTGAGTCGTAATTCGGCATGTATTTATTGGCCTTTATTCTCTTTGCATTCCAGTTGAGCTACTCAGAGCTGACTTCTGTCAGTTCAGTAGAGTAAACGGCAGACAATTATATCACGGACTTGAGTCAATGCTTCTTTCGAAACTTACTTCCATATAATTATACCAGGATTGGAAACAGGAATTTAAAAAGATAAAGTTGCCTTTTTATTTCCTGATTCATCTTAGTGACTTGAACTTGCAAAGCTGTATTTACCAGATTCTTATTATATCCCATCACTTGAAATTATAAGTGTATGATCTATTAGCCAACTGTTTTTTGTCAACTGGTAAGATTCAGTCAGAGTTTTGGAAATGGATGGCGCAATCAGAACTATGTACATCAGTCTATATCATGATGTCCAATCAAATAACAGGATATGAACACGTGATCAATCACAAGCACATGTTTTTTAAGAGTTAACCAATGATACCTGTTTCTGAAGAGTTGGTCACATGACCCTCTGGGCCAGCTGCCTGTTTTCAATCCTGGTA